ATGTCCATACGCATCAGTCGATCATTCCGGGGATCGACAGAAACTATAGTCACGATCGTCTTCGTTTCATCGTTGTTACCGATTAATTTGAATTTCATGGTACGGTAAAGGTAGATTCGTGTGACCTGTAATCGTTTCTGAATTCAAGGGAGAAGGAGAGAAACGGAAAACAAGGAACTGATCCTAGATACGTGCGATTAAGTAATTCAACGGACTTCCGTTTCGTTCCGAGAAATTAGCACCGGATTGAGCTTGAATAATCTACGATTATACGTACACACCTTTAAGCCACGGGTAGGAACGCTCCTGGGATCTCGGATCGCGTGACTTATATACTGTAATATGTTGACCGTTAAGAAGATACTGCTAATTGACGAAGGATGTTGCCAATGCGGAGAAGAATGATAAAGAGGTAAATATATATTGCCTGCATTGCTTTGGCATCGTTTGCGTCCCGTTCCGCTTCTCTCCCACGCCGCAGAGGTCCCCTTGTTTCTCAATTCAAACTTGAACCGAGTGACCTTCAGCATCCACGGCCAAAGAAGCGATCCACGGATGGCACCCGATCCGTATCTCTGGCGCACAAACACTTTTGTCGTTCACCGTTCGACGCACAACGTACCAACGATATCCGCGAATAATCGCGTCCGGACGTATCCACACGTTCTAGAGCGTCTCTTGAACTGAATTTCTGACTGAGGCCCTGACTCTTTATGCCCACCTGGCTCCGGCAGGTGTTGCAGGTGGCACCACCTCTCGGTGATTCCGTGATCTCTTTTCTTTTTAGCGATCCCTTCCACAGGTCGCCAAATGGGACTTACTCCGGGAGACGTCCAACCAGGCCCGTGATAAAAAGTTCGTGTTTATGTGATTACTACACGGTCCTGTATATTCAATTTCTTCTTGTTTCCGGTTTCAAGTATGAGGAGATTTTTAGAATTTATTATCTGCTTCGACGGATCATGATAATACGAGAATTAAGAGAGACATGTGTGGGAGAATTTTTTAGAAGTTTATTTGTGATTTATGTACAAAATTGTTTAGTAATTGGCTAAAAATCGCTTCTCCGCTTCGCTAGATTTAACGAGGACAAGAAATGCCGGGGTTCCCCCGCGAACAATAAATCTGAAAATTTGTTTGTTAATTTATATTTTGAAAAATTCCTTTTTACGACGTAAGGGTTGTTTTCTTTGTTTCACTGTTTGTACTCACCGTTCGTTCTGTAATATTTTTCCCAGAGAATGTTGAGTGTTTACTTTATGGACAGAACATTTATCTTTTCCCTCAAAATAAACATTAATATTCTGAAGGGTGTAACGTTTCTCTGTATCCCATTCTGGAGGTTCACTAAATAGTTGCTCTAACTGTTCTATTAATCTGAACGAAAAAATTAATTTGATAAATATGTTTCCTTAATTTTATGTTTTTGAGGAATAATTGTACTAAGGGAAACATACGGTGTGTCTTCATGGAAGTTTTGTATGAAATCTGTTTGGTATGTCTCCGGATATAAAATCATTACTGGCCAAATAAGTTTATTTTCTGAATCCAAATGAACTCTACTCTGAGCAATTTGTGGTACTTGGGGTTCTAAATCTTTTAACTCGAGATTCTTTTTCTCATTAATCAATTCTAAGTTAATGCCTTTACTTTTGATAATGTTTATTAGCTCCTCCTCTTCTTTATTTAATTTCTTCTCTAATCTATCTTGTTTCCTTTGGTCTCTTTTTGAACGTTCCTATACATATTAAATGTGATAACTCTTAATGTTGTTATTTATCGAATACTTTCACAGGTTTTATTATATAAATGCATCTGTACCCTTGCAGTCACTGCCTGTGACTTCAAACTTAAAATTGTCTTGTCAGTTGGAGAATGATCGAGGAATTGATCACATAGGTTAATACATTGATCATAGTCTTTAACATGAAAGCAACATGTGGCAGCCCTATTCAATGCCTTTGGGTAATTTGGTTTTAATTTTAAAGCATGCTTTGAATCATTTAAACTAGACCTATAATTTATATTGAATTATAATAAAATTAATAAAGTCACGACAAATAATATTGTACATTTAATTACTGGCATATACCGAAAGTTTTTTAACATGAAATGTGAAGCAGCCCTATTGTTATAAAGTTGAGCCATTAAATCATTATCCTTACATTTAGTCCTTATTCCTTCTGTATAACTTAATATCGCTAACCGATATTTTTTGTATTTGTAATTAAAGTTTCCATCTTCTTTATAATTATTTGCTAATTCTATAAGAGAAATATGATACTATAGGCATGACTGCATAAGTATAATCCAATGAAATAAATAGGTAAACAATAACAAATGAATTCGAACCCTCTGGTGTATTTTCATCTTCCCCATATTTGAGTTGTTGTAACCCTTCCATTAGTGGGGAAAGTTCCTCGCCAGGCTCTGGTGGTTTCTTCATGAAGAAAGGATGTTTTTCCATTTCTTCTTCCCATCGGTCTTCCGGCCATCCTTCTGTATAACTTTTCTTTTCTAAATTATTTATATATTCATCTAATTCAGCATCCAATTTCGAAGCAAGTTCTAACCGTTCTTCATCGGTCCAGATTTTATGCGCTTTTTCACTCTTATCTTCCATTGTCACGCGATTCTTCGAACTCGAGGATAAATGAAAGCAAACTTGATTCAATCACTAATGAAGAAACACTTAGGAAAGTATGTAGTATTTGCAAGTATAGCATTAAAAATAACTTGACTCGGAAAACATAACCTCCAAAGTTTCACGTGAAACAATGCGTTGCTTGACCTTATTATCTATTACCGACAGAGTATACTTTTGTTACTGCACAAGAGATGGCATCATTTGTATTGTCATAAAGAATTTTGAGTAATCGTATTTTTTAAACAAATTTTTGACAATTATATTGTAGTAATACTATTCCTCTTTATCAATATTACTAAATATCTAATTCGAAAAAGCGCTAAGAGAATCAGTAAACGAATTTTAAAGTGAAAATATTTTTAAAACGTTCATGAAATAAATCAAAAATTTTGATAAAACAATCACAAAAAATCACAGGTAAACGCAAAAAGAATGTATTTAGTAATTGTATTCAAGAATAAAAATAATATTCATGAAAAATAAATTAATCTAAAATTTACATTTCAAATGTTTTCTGCTCGACATCGAAACAATTATTAACAATTAAAATCCCCGTTCGTGTCCCTTTCAAAAAATATGAAATAACATTACCGAGGGAACGCTAAGAATTTCCTACCGATGATACAATTCTTAGTTTCGAATTAGTTTCCGTGGGGTGCGAAGAAAATAGGGTATGGGGGTAATCCTCACAATAAAATCTGTATTGAAAGTTAGGGATGAGAAAAGCCAGAGGAGGATACGTCGATCGGGTAGGGGTGGCTAAGGTTCGGACGTTTACGCAAACATTCGGGTTTTGGCCCCTTTGTGCGTCGGCTAGGCAAGATGGCGCTCGGTGAAAGCTGGTCCACGATTGGTCGATGAGACCGCACCGCGAATCTCCCGAGAACAGTCGCTTCCACGGCCTCGTAGCGGGCGAGTTGTTGGTCCCCTTGGAAAAAAGGAAAACACGCTCTCTCGTCGCGGCGACGAGTGTAATGGCCACCGTGGGCCTGGGATAGCGGCGGAGGCGGTTTCGGGTCCTTTAATCGAGACGCTCACGAATCACGGGACGATTTATCGGCCGGCTACGATCAGTGAAATTTGATTCGCGCGTGTTGAACTGTCCGCTTCGCCGTCGAGGATCGTGGGCTTTCTATCCCTCGCCAGTGAGGAAGAGTGCGTGTACATCTCCAGCTAGTGCATCAGTGTACTTAAATGTGTGCCACAACAGCCATTGTCGAGCGTGTATCGTAGTGTGCCGGTCAACAGGAATCCTCGTCTACTCTGGATATATCGCTTGTTCGTCTCACATTTTTGGATTCTACCCTCCTGACAAACGAACCGTCGCAACGGTGAGTACACTTGAACGAAATCGTGCTCGCGTTTCACGCAGGACGATCCTGTGTTACAGCTGGGTCTACGTTATGTGTGGTGCGTCTCTGTGTATTTACAACCGCGGTCGTCCTCTCGTCCCCCTAACCGATTATCTATCGACGCGTTTCGTCTATGACTAGACGCACCCTAGGCTGCTGGCTCTTTCCCATCGTAGAAAAACAATTGTCGGTTGTCATCGTGCACGGACAGCACGCGGCCGTACTTTTTCTAGAATTCTTATCACCCGCGCGTAAGGTGTCCGTGACGGCCTTCAGCTCGGCGACCTTTTCGCACATGGACAACCATCCCATGAGGGAAAAGTCCATTTATTGTCATATGCAGGTAGTAATGAGAGTATGCGCGTTGCGAAGCACGATCAATTTCGGAAGATCTACCGCCACGCTGCAAAAGATGTCGCACCACCCTTCCCGTGATAGTTTATTGTTATTAAATATTCTCCGCCGCTACTCCGGACCCGTGGCACTTGAACAATCCCATTGCTTCCCCTCCTCCTCCCCATCACATTTTTTCGCCGGCGGTGCGCTTCGACCGTTCACGCGGCGTCACCGGACCAAATGATAAATTACGGTTTCCATGGTGACCGAACCCGCGTTCGTTGAACGCCTATTCGTCTTAATGCCCGTTGTCACCTTCGTTTCCTTATTATCCGCGGTTCCCCGTCGCAGACAATCGAATGCTCGACGCCTCGCGTCGATAAGGCGACATCGGTGTGTTCCCGTGCACCGCGATCACCGTGGATGGGCGTATTCTTTACGAGCGAGTGTACTCGACGCGTTCTGAAAAAATAAATGTTCGCGGGCACGCGAACAGCCTTCTCGGCCGGGCTTAATGGCGGTATTAATACGTGATGAAAAAAAATGCATCGCGGGAGGGTAACAGGTGTCACCAGTATTTTTCCGACTTTTTGCCAACAGAAATATTCCGCGTTTTTTACTTCTTTTTTTTTGTGTGTAACGCGAGAGCTGGTTGTTATACAAACATGCATGCGCGGGTTGCATCGTTTAAAAATTCAACGCCGTTGACTTAACCTATAAACACGAGGGAGAGACGCGGTTTGAGCTTTCCTTCGTGTTTGAATGCATCTCGGGATTTATCGCTCGAGAATGATTAACCCCTTGTCCTATAACTACGAGTGAGTCTCGTAGTGAAGATTTTCAACGTGATTCGACAAATATATATTACTCGGTTCATTCGAATTCGAAGTAAATATTATTCTATTGTAATTAGCTATTATACTTAAAAGGAAATACAGGCGTAATGCTTAGAATTTTTCTCTTTTTCCAATAAATTATTAATGAGAAAGTAGCCGTATCAGAGTTGAGAAAGAAATCATAGGTCAAGGGGTCAACCCCTTGCACTCGAGAGGTGACTCTTGGTCACCATATGATTTGATGTAATTAAATTACAAAGTGTTGTATATAATATTAACTTTTGTATAACGCGTCGATATGTGAAATGTTTCTATAAAATAGCTTTGTCTGTTAACACTAGAACTACTGGATGGGTCAAAAGTGACCCATCACTGATTTCATTTTTTCTAGTTATTCAACAGACGACTGACGCTTCTCTGAAAAAGTTTAGCAATACAAAAACTGAATTTCAAACCAACTGAAGTCTCAATAATTGCACTGTTCAGGTTTCTACAGAACAATTTGGAAAAGACAATTTAACTGCTCGGTAGTTGTAATGTTAATTGACGTAGGTTTCTCATTAGTTCGTTTCAAATAGTGACGTCTGCCTCACTGACAGAACAAATGTAGAATCTTTCTGTTTTTCTAATTAATTGGGTACACTAAAATGTCTCCGTTGAGCGTAATTGAGAAGGAAACCACGGCGCAAGTGGTTCATATTTTATTTAAAAAATCAGTACATTTCATAAGCAAAATATAACCAAAATTTCCGTGGCACGGAACGTGTTAACTCCTTGCACTCGAAAGTTTTTCGCTTGAAATATTCAATCCTTTCTAGTTAGACGTAGACAAGATTCTTTAAAATAAATTTATCAAGAAATCACATGTAACATTTTACTATCAACAATTTGGAAGAAATGCAACAGAATTGTCCATTGCACTTCAAGTGGAAATTTCATTTAAAGATAATACATTGATAATAGGAAAATAGTTGTTTGCTTTGATCCGTGTATAATGAACCACATTGATTCTTGTTAAATTAGTCTAGAACTCTTCATCCGTTTCACTCGTCATTGTTCACCAAGGGGTTAATGGTAAATACCAAAATTTATAATTTTCCTGTATCAAATCATCTGGCGACTAGAAGCCTCTTTAACTAGAATTTAACTAGAAATATTGAATATTTTCCACTGAGTTCTAGACAATATTCTTTAAGACGAACTGAACGATAGAACATATATATGTTAAGAAACAAAGTTATTGTTTCTATACTCATGTTTACGGATTACACGGAATATTGCCTGTAATACTTTATAATATTATATCAAACCGAATGGCGACTGACAGTCACCTCTCAAGTTCAAAGCGTTAAACATTAAATTTTACAGTTTCACTCTACCGAATCAAGTGTCGACTGAGAGCCACGTCCCGAGTGCAAAGGGTTAATCAGATTGATTGAAAACGCGGCGGTGACTGTTGAATGTTTATCACTAGATTCCGGTATAATAGTACCCGGTACGGTGGAAAATGTAACGGGATGATCGTCGCGCTCGCCGCGATCTGATTCCATGCGGATACTTGGCTGTAATGCGCAACACTCGTAACGGGCCGAAAGTAGAGCGTTTGCACGTGTTGCTGACAAAACATGTATCTTCGCTGGCAGTCGGCGCGTTTCGATCGTGTCCGATATTCGTCCAGTTTCACGGTGCACGGTGGTATCATCGTATCGATGGAAATCGCGGTCGTAACCGGACAGAACGGGATAACTTGAGAAATAAACGCGAATTCGAAATTCGAGATACAACGTCGTTCGAATAGGTGGATCCCCCTTTCGGCTCCCGTGACGGATTAATAGCTCCGCGGTTCGATTACGTAACAATTAACCGGGCCGCATGCAACAATCATTAACTGGAATTCCGGTTGCGTGCGACGGACTCGAGTGCCCGTTCTGTCAGGGACTGAGGATAATTCCCACTTTGTGCAGCGCCTCTGTCAATTCACACTACTCAGCTTACTGTGGGAGAATTTTTTTGTCCGCCCGTAATCCCGGCCGCCTCGAATTGAAAAGGTAGAGCGTTAGTCGAATTACACGAGTGTTCCCAGCAAATGGTCTAGGTTAAAATCCCATTTGGAGCGGAAACTGCTGAATATACATACTGTTGGGTACCGTTAAATGGTCACGAGTCTTTCAAGGTCACCTGGAAAAATATGCTTCCCCAAATTTCGACTCCGTTAACACTAGATCTACCGGACGGTTCAAAATTACCTATTTCTGGTTCCTTAATTTTGCAATTATTAACCAGTTAACTGTGTTTGACGAGTATACACGTCATCTTAAAACTCTTAATGGTGCTAACTTTTTCAACGATGGATTATTCATTTTTTGAGACAAACGTGTGATTCTTCTTCGTTTCGCTTTAGTTCGTGTACACACTCCATTATTTGATTTTATTGCGCGCAATGAGAGATTTTTCAAACTAAATTCCACACTTATCTGGTTAAAAGGATGACAGATCTGCGAGATATTAAGAAAATTGATTTAGAAATAGGAAAACTGAATTACAAGTCAATTAATGTCTGGATAGATGAATTTTTGAAGTTCCTATGCAGGAATTTCGAGAAGTCAATTTAGCTCGGTAGTTTTAGTG